TACCTTTCCCCTGATGAAATAGATTCTGCACGATATAAATCACGCTTAGATTTCGATGATGAGAACCAAAAGTAAAGAGGTTCACAATTCGCTTGTCTTTACTAGTGTCAATCATCTGATCATCAAACACGATCAAATTCCGTTTGTTCACATCAAAATAGTAATCCTGCTCCAAAGCCGTAGGAATTCCCTTGACGAATTCAATGTGTGGAATGGCGACTAGCATTTCTGTATACGCAGGCTGTCATTGTAAATAACACCAAACGATCCTCTCCGGGGAAAGGTAAATTGCCTCTGAAGCTTGTTGTAATAGAGATCGAATCAAGGCTGTCTTTCCGGCCCCTGTCGTTCCGGCAATCATGGAGGTAAAAGGGTGTCCGAAGCGAAACCGCTGACACTTCTGTGAAGACATTGGAACTCTTTGAAATGGGGTGAGACCAGCATTGCGGTGTTTAGACATCACGTGCCTTTGCATGCTATCCTTTCTACTGAATGATTTTTCTCAGACAGGACAGAACCAACTCATGTCAACTCCTCAGGAGCAGAATGTAGACTGAGAAAATGGTGGCATGTTGCGCACTGATATAGGTTTTAAAGGTCATAAAATTCTATAGTTTTCCCCCACCACCACCACCACATTTCTTTGGTTTTCTTCCACTACCTCCACATTTCTATAGTTTTCCTCCTCCACCACCACCACCACCACCACCACTACATTTCCATTGTTTTCTTCCACCACATTTTTACTGTTTTCATCCACCACCACTACATTTCCATTGTTTTCTTCCACCTCAACCACCACATTTCTATTGTTTTCCTCCTCCACCACCACCACCACATTTACTATTTTTTCCACAACGACAGTCAATAAAAGACCGCAAATTACTATCATAAGTTCAGTTTGTCGCAATGTCTCAAGTTTGAAAGAACAATCGTGGTTTTCTTCAACTCTTAGCTGTTTGTCTAGCTCATCAGCGACCGTTCCTCTTACGGACAGACAGACCACAACAACTACATGCATTAGTGCAAGTCTTATACAATATACTTAAAGGGATACCCTATGCCCAAAACGGCAATTTTACGAAAAGATAGGTTATGGCCTTATTACAAGATTTTGATAAAATAAAATGTCCAGTTCTTCTGCATTTGCCTGAAAACGAGGAACGTTGTTCGTCACGCAATTAAAATTTTGCACTACAGCTAGAAACCGGAAATGACGTAGAAAGAAGATCGTGTCTCAAGATTTTACAATGTGGCTTCTAGGTTTCCGGACTGTTTTGAACAGTCAATAAAGGATTTTATGGTTGACATTTCAGGAAGAGCCTACGAATTGAATTAGACCTTCCAGCGCTCATTTTACTAAAGACTACTTTGAAAGCGCAAACAGCGAAAGCTTAGTCCTTAGGCTCAAAGATGAAACCAATAATAAAAACTGATGCTGTTCCAACAATGTTTAAACGTGGGCTACTAGAAACTAGAAGGCTAAGGCGTGAAAGAGATACCGCCTCAACGTTACAGGATACTCAAGATAAAGGCAAAACACCACAAAAATTATATTAATTGCTTATGCTTTTTATGGCGAATACATGTTAAAATTCTTTGTAGTCTGTATTCTCATTACTCGTGTGCAAGGCGAAATCCCTTGAACACAAAGTCATGTTCATTGCCTGGGGGGGGGGGAGGGGGGGGGCGGTTAGGCCCAATGCAGCAAACAGCGCAAAGATCGCGCAAGATGGTGGGACAACGCGAACTTTTCACGGCTAAAATGCCAAGCACCACCCCGCCAGCTGCCTGTAAGCTACGTGCTGGGCCTTTGTAGGAGTCGCGGTACTGCTGCTTACATTGATACCTGGCCATCTGAATATAAACCCAGCGACTTGTTTTTAGCGACCAAGGCCATACAGTCAAACGTTGAGCAGCAGATACACTCTTGAAAACGATTCAGGCGTTGACAAAATCCACATTTACACCTACAATTGTGACATTAGTCACTTTTTCCTAGGTGTACAACCTTAATAGACAAGCATACTACTGAATTTCTCGGGAAAATTGCCTTGTACGCATACACGGCTCACATAGTTATTACACATCTTGAGATCGAAATAATGCTTAAAAAAAACATTGCCACTCCATCAGAAGAGTAATTAACAGCCAGAATTATTTTATTTTATCAAAAGTGTAATCATACCGTCGATCAGTAATGAACAGAATTTGCAATGCAGCATATTTGCTTTAACGCCGATCTGTATTGTGCAATCGCTAGTGTTGCTCCACGTCGGGCTTGCATGTCGAGTCAGTGTCCGAGTTTAGTTAACTCGCTGTCATGCGGCTCAAACAAACAAGTCTTTGCTCCCTCACACTCTGATAAACTCGATTTGTCGTTTATACTTTTGTTTAAAGGACAAGAACAAAGGAAAGAACTATCCTCGGACTCCACAATCTCTTCAGGCACACTGAAAAGATTCTTCTTTCTACGTCATGGTCACGTGCCCTAACAAATCGGCGATTTCACTTCTGGTCCTGAAAGAGGAGTAATTACGCTTTTCTCCGACGATTTTCGGCTTTTACTTTTGCTTTTCGATAGTTTTTTTGTCATCTTCCCGTAATAATAGTGCAAATACTGTCTTTTGAGCAAAAGTTGCTTTTCGGTAAAGAGTATCCCCTTAAGGAATACATTCTTATCCCCGAAGAAAATAAGCGGAACATGTTGTCATATAAAGATGCTCTAGTAAACCTAGCAGAAACAAATTTCCCTTACAAAACAAAGAAGCGAATCCTTGTACAAGTGGGTGATGGTTTTATTCAAGACCTATTGGTACCTGCTGTTACAAGCTTAGGATTTTTGATGCTATAAAAGAGGAGACGACACTGTAAGTTGCTCATTTGAAGCCAGCCTTCCATCTGTACTCATCGCGATGAAGAGAAAGATAGACTTAGTTGATGAAGAGCACGAGAGCGAGGATGAAGAAAACGAAAGTTCTAAGAACCAAGAATAAAAGATGTTTTCAGTCATCTTTCCCAAGCGGTTTCGGAAAAGCGTGCTTCAGAATTGCTACGTAGGATGGCCGCTTCCAAAGATATTTTATTCTGGACTCCCCGTGGACAATTACTTCGAAATAAATGTATAATTCCGGTCACAAACATCGCCGAGCTACTTGAGTATGTGTTACTACCTCATAACGATGACGCAACCAAACCTCGTGCGCTGAATACATTGCTAGATGGACTTGCAGAGTTAGGAATCAATAAGGCTTTATTCAAGAACAAAAAGTTGCTTATCGATTTAATATTCTGAAAATCTCTGTTTACATTGCGAGAACTCTGATGTGTACGGGACATTAAACATGTAGTGTCCTGAATGCTATTGGCACGATTACTACAAAATTTATCCCATATGCGATCAACAGATCCCCGAGGAGACAAATTACATCACGGAGGGCTTTCTTCGGGGTCACGATCGTGGAGCAATTACATACAAAAACGCCAAGACGTTGAAAACCAATTTTATTCCCCTTCTAAAGAGGAGAACGAAGCGGAAGATGATTAATTTCCATCCCTTTCAAATCGCTGTGTATTTGACTCTTTTTGTCATTGGTTTTCAATAAACTTTTTAAAATTTTATCTCCGTCGTGTCTGTTTTTTTTTTGCTAGCGTTAATTTGTCGCGTATTTTAATTGATCCTTGTTAAGTTAGGAATTGTTTTTTCAGTTTTTATAATAATACGTTAAGGTTTTCCCTTGGGGTTTATTACTGTGGAGCCAATTTGCATGCATCGGTGGGCTTTTTAACTCGCATAATTTACTGACTTTAACGAAGCGTGACAAACACACACTGACACAAAATCAAGTCATGAACTCACTTTAATGCTTTTACAAACGGAGCTTGTTCTGAATGTCATTAATTACAGAGTCAATTTCCCTTGGTTGTTCGTCTTTTCTTACTACTTGTTCAGGGCATTCTATTTCTGCTTATTGGTCGCTAAAATCCTTGCTCTTGAGGCCGTTAAGTCCGTCATGTATAGCCCCGCAAAACACGACTCTGAAGATCACCATCAAAACCATCTACCTTGAGTGAAGTGAGAAATACTCTGGTCCAAGGCATCTTTGGTAGTTCGCTGGCGTACATTTCCCACGACTGACCAAGCTTAAAGCCAAGAGCATTGCACACACTTTCAACATTGTTCAGGACAACATTCAGATCAATTTTTTCCACCACATCTTCTCGGTACTACAACCAAGAATCCTCTTTATCCATCATAAGACACGAATGTTTTCTTTGACTTGGGTGCTGAATAGCACAGCCATGACAGCGATTCAGCTTTTCTTCTTGAATTAGTTCGTCAACCATATTGACGTAAGTCAATTGGAAGATATGGCCGATAAGACCTGCTATCCTGTGCTGCTGAACTTGTTCCACCTCATCGACAGCCAGCCGAGGTGTAGCGCTTAAATGAAGAACAATATTAGGAACCATCTTGTAATAAATTGACCAGTAATTAATAATTCGTGAATGATTTGCTTGGTAAAGAAGGGCCATTTTATGTGTTTAGAAAGAATAGAAAAATCATGGTAGGTAAAAATAAACCATGACATGATCTTACCTGAATAAATATGACATCATCATGACCAAGTAGGGACATGATATCACTTTTCGATTTATAGATTATGACCTCAACATTTTTGATGAAGTCAAGCCCTGGGTATTGTGACGTTACTTGTTCCTTGCCTACTGAAAATAAACTGTGACATCATTCTATCTTAATGAGATGCATGACGTCATCGGCGTTAATTTATTCCTACGCAAGTTACGGATAATTCTGTCCCTACCCCACTACTTACTGGAGAGCTATAATGCCAGGGAGACTAGATCTTTTACTACGTTCAATGATGTAAATTAATTGCGTTATGTCCAGCCCTCGTATTTCCCACACGGCAAACATGTTAATCAGTTTAATTACTTCAAATATCCCAGTGTGACTGATGTGTTTACCGTGTCTAAAGAAATGGTATGATTCTGATGATGATGATTCTATGTATTTGAGAATGCTGATAATTACATTTGAGCATCCCTGAAAGTGGCTATCAGTGCTGAAAACTACAATGTTGAAATTGACCCCACGGCTATGATTTAAGTTCAACTTCATAAGTTTTTTTTTTTTTCTTCCTTTCTTTTTTCTCCTCCTGTTCCTGTTTTTGTTCTTCTTCTTCTTTTTTTTTGTGGGGAGGAAGGTCGTCTCAAATACAGGGGGAGGCGCCCACAAACAATTTATAACGAAGAGGGCATCATCATAATATACAACTGGAGCTCCCCGACAAATCTCACCAGCCTTCTCGCCCCCTTCCCTCTTCCGCATGAAAACGATCGGTGCCAAAGTGCCAAACAATCACATTTTCGCTTAAACGTAGCCTAAACCATGTCTCTTAAAACGTCATAGCTTATAACCATAGCAACCAACCGCCACAACATTTTTTGAAAATGTGTCTATTGCCATAAGCCAATGTATCGACAATAAGAAAACTTACAAATTAGTGAAAATGAACTCCTTCTTTATTATTTCGCCAATGAACATGATCATTTCTATTATAGGTCAGTCTAAAGAAACTCTCTAGAGAAGCTTTCTTGCAAGTGGATAAACAATCTGGATTTAATCTGCTCCAGGCTGCTGTCTTTGAGGGGGAACATAGCATTGTTTTAAAAGCTCATGGCCTTCTTCATAACTTTGCACAAGAGATGGAACTTGTTAAGACAGGAAATAACGCAAACGTTTTTCCAGGGAAAACTGCAGTTGAAATCTTGTCGCTTAGATGGAAACGAGAACCAAGTTACGATAGCTTCAAACGATTTTATAGAGAGCGTGGTAAGGACAACAGTAGACTGACTTACCTGCAGTGGACTGCATGCAAAGAAGGAAGGAAACCAAGTCATGATAGAATCGAAAGACTTTATAAAGAGTGGGCCAAGGACAACAGCAGACTGACTGAGCTACAGTGGGGTACATGCAATGATGATGCGGAACAAGCAGTTGAACTTGTATTAAATGACGGTGTAGATATTAATGCCGTAGCTTCAGACAGTGATTACACAGCTTTGCTGCAGGCGAGTCGTTCATCCTCAAGTCAGTATATTGAGACCCTCATTGATCTTGGAGCCAACGTTAACACCCAAAGAAAAGACAGTAAAGAAACACCTTTAATATTAGCAGCTGAATGTAACAACTACATGACATCGTGCTTGCTTGTAAGGAATGGGGCTGATGTAAATGTTCAGGATAGTAATGGGTTCACACCACTGCACTTTTCAGTCAGAGAGAATCACGAAAATCTGGTCAAATTATTTGTTACACACAAAGTAGATTTAAATATTCAAGACGAAAAGCAAACAACACCCCTGCACATATCAGTCAAAAAGGGTTACACACCAGTCGTAAGAATGTTACTCGAATACAGCTCGGATGTAAATATTCAAGATACTGACGGTTGTACTCCTCTGCACTGGTCACTCAAACAGCGTGATGAAAACCTCTGTAGATTGTTACTTAAACACAACGCGGATGTAAATATTGAAGATAACGAGGGATATGCACCACTGGACTTGGCAGAGGAAAGCGGCAACGAAAACATTGCCAGGTTGTTACTTGCTCAACGGTCAGACATGTGGAATGACGAAAAAGTGTTAAGATTGCTACTTGAACCCAACGCGGATGTAAATATTCAAGATGATGATGGAAAAACCGCACTTCTCTGGTCAGTCTACCATGGTGACGAATACCTTGTTAGATTGTTGCTTGAATACAACGCGGATGCCAATATTCAAGATAAGCGGGGAAACACAGCACTGGAATGGTCAGTTAAAAAGGGGCACAAAACCTTCGCCAGAATGTTACTCGAACACCACGCGGATGCCAATATTCAAGACAAGCGTGGATATACACCACTTCGATGGGCAGTCGAAAAAGGGCACAAAACCCTTGTCAGAATGTTACTTGAGCACAACGCGGATACAAATGTTCAAGATAAGCGTGGATATACCCTACTGCAATGGGCAATCGAAAAGGGGAACAAAAACCTTGTGGGAATGTTACTTGAACACAATGCACACGTAAATTTTCAAGGTGAGAGCGGCGAAACACCCCTGCACACGTCAGTCAAAAAGGGTCACGAACCAGTCGTGAAAATGTTACTCAGACACAAGGCCGATGTAAATATTCAAGATAAAGACGGATATACACCACTGGATTGGTCATACAAAGAGGGCGACGAAGACATCGTCAGATTGTTACTTATTCACCAGTCAGTCATGTGGAATGACGAAAAAGTCCATAGATTATTACTTGAACCCAACGCGGATGTAAATATTCAAGATAATGACGGATTCACTCCACTCTACAGGTCAGTCATAAACGGTAAGGCACACCTCGTTAGATTGTTGCTAGAACATGAGGCGGATGCAAATATTCAAGATAAGCGTGGATATACACCACTGCAATGGGCGGTCCATAATGATGACGAAAAGCTCTATAAGTTGTTACTAGAACACAACGCGGACGCCAATGTTAAAGATAAGCGTGGATATACACTACTGCGTTGGGCAATCAAAAAAGGGCACGAAAACCTCGTTAGAATTCTACTTGAACACAAAGCGGAAGTGAACATTCAAGATAACAGTGGTGAAGCAGTACTGCATTGGGCAGTCAAAAAAGGGCACGAAAACCTCGTCAGAATTCTCCTTGAACACAAAGCGGAAGTAAACATTCAAGATAACAGAGGTGAAACAGTACTGCATTGGGCAGTCAAAAAAGGGCACGAAAACCTCGTCAGAATTCTCCTTGAACACAAAGCGGAAGTAAACATTCAAGATAACAGCGGTGAAACAGTACTGCATTGGGCAGTCAAAAAAGGGCACGAAAACCTCGTCAGAATTCTCCTTGAACACAAAGCGGAAGTAAACATTCAAGATAACAGCGGTGAAACAGTACTGCATTGGGCAGTCAAAAAAGGGCACGAAAACCTCGTCAGAATTCTCCTTGAACACAAAGCGGAAGTAAACATTCAAGATAACAGCGGTGAAACAGTACTGCATTGGGCAGTCAAAAAAGGGCACGAAAACCTCGTCAGAATTCTCCTTGAACACAAAGCGGAAGTAAACATTCAAGATAACAGCGGTGAAACAGTACTGCATTGGGCAGTCAAAAAAGGGCACGAAAACCTCGTCAGAATTCTCCTTGAACACAAAGCGGAAGTAAACATTCAAGATAACAGCGGTGAAACAGTACTGCATTGGGCAGTCAAAAAAGGGCACGAAAACCTCGTCAGAATTCTCCTTGAACACAAAGCGGAAGTAAACATTCAAGATAACAGCGGTGAAACAGTACTGCATTGGGCAGTCAAAGGAACGGACGAAACCCTTGTCAGAATGTTACTTGAACACAACGCACACGTAAATTTTCAAGATGATTCCGGCAAAACACCCCTGCACACGTCAGTCAAAAAGGGAAACAAACCAGTCGTAGTATTGTTACTCAAACACAACGCCGATGTGAATATTCAAGATAAAGACGGATATACACCACTGGATTGGTCATACAAAGAGGGTGACGAAGACATCGTCAGATTGTTACTTATTCACCAGTCAGTCGTTTGGAATGACGAAAAAGTCCACAGATTATTACTTGAACCCAACGCGGATGTAAATATTCAAGATAATGACGGATTCACTCCACTCTACAGGTCAGTCATAAACGGTAAGGCACACCTCGTTAGATTGTTGCTAAAACATAAGGCGGATGCAAATATTCAAGATAAGCGTGGATATACACCACTGCAATGGGCGGTCCATAATGACGACGAAAAGCTCTATAAGTTGTTACTAGAACACAACGCGGACGCCAATGTTAAAGATAAGCGTGGATATACACTACTGCGTTGGGCAATCAAAAAAGGGCACGAAAACCTCGTTAGAATTCTACTTGAACACAAAGCGGAAGTGAATATTCAAGATAACAGCGGTGAAGCAGCACTGCATTGGGCAGTCGAAGAACGGTACGAAAACGTCGTCAGAATTCTACTTGAACACAAAGCGGAAGTAGACATTCAAGATAACAGAGGTGAAACAGTACTGCATTGGGCAGTCAAAAAAGGGCACGAAAACGTCGTCAGAATTCTCCTTGAACACAAAGCGGAAGTAAACATTCAAAATAACAGCGGTGAAACAGTACTGCATTGGGCAGTCAAAAAAGGGCACGAAAACCTCGTCAGAATTCTCCTTGAACACAGCGCGGATGTAAATGTTCAAAATGAGGATGGGATGACACCACTGCATCAGTCTGTCATACACGATGACGTCGATATAGCCAGATTGCTACTTCAACACAACGCGGATGTAAATATCCAAGATAAAGATGGGGATACACCAATGCACTGTTCAATCCGTCACAGAAGCGAAGGCAAGATAATCGATTTTCTGCTGACGTGTGGAGTGCAAGATATAAACATCCGTGATGCAAAAGGCTGTAGTCCCCTGCACCTTGCTGTGAGATGTGGTAACGCAAAAGCTGTGAAAAAGCTACTAGATGTAGGGGCTGATGTTAGTGTGGTTCGAGCATCTAAGGATGCCCTTAGACTGGAACGTTTGAAGCATGAA